CCCCAAAACCCCAAAACCCCATTTAGACTATATGTGAAATTTGAAGGAGACTTTTAAGATAAGACATATAATATATATTATTCTGATTGTTTCAATATTGCTCCTAGTGTGCGCTTACTCGAAAATCTTCTAGACAATAATTGTATGCATCGTAGTATTTATAGAGAGAGAATTTTTGAACTCTCAACTCTCTACCAGAATTTTCTCTCACTATAGTATTTTCTTTTCTCTTTGAATGCAATCTCCCTTCTTCTTTGGTATATCAGCTAAGTAGTATGACCCATCTGTAGTGACAGCTATCAATGTTTATCCATCATCACTAAAAGCGCACAGTGCTTTTCCATCTTGAACTCTGAACTGAGCATAACTCCACTCACTGTCGAAGTACTTAGGCAGAATCTTCTTCATAAATGACAATCTATAGAGCAAAGAGATAAACATCAGATTTCATAGCCAAATTGATTATTTTTAATATGGATGATTGTGATTAAAGAGATAACTTACGCATGCTTAGAATTTTTAGCCTTTTTGCCATCATTGCTGACTTCTGCTTCATTTTATTGAGATGTTTTGTATATTTCATCTTGCTGGGCAGCTTGATCATCTTTATTTTCATCAGAGAGGACAATTCTATTCATAGTTTTGGTCACGTGGAAGATGTGAATAGTTCCCTTGTCTGAAGAGCAGGCGATCCAGTGCGAATTCTTATCAAAAGCAATGGAGTAAATCTCAGCCTTGTCACTTCCACGTCTCACCTCCTACAATGGAGATCCATCCTCAGTTGAAAATATTCTGATTAGAGTACCCTTATCACTTGCTGTGGCGAGAAGAGTGCCTGCAAAGTTAAGAGCCATGCAACTGAGAGAGCTTTGATGAGCCACTATGACAAAGGAATTGTTGCGTTCATAAACAGTGACTTTAACATGACCTTTTTATTTATCTGGAGTAGCTAGCACTGATAGATTCTGATCTGCTGATAGTGCACAAATACCTTTTGGATTAAAGCAAGTATCGATTGCATCTATGAGTCTTAAGTCTGCAAAGTTATAGACGTAAATACGATTTTCAAGCACAACAACAACTCTATAGAATTTTTAATTATTAATTCGACCAAATATTAAGGCTTATACTGGAAATATAGATGAAATTAAGAGTGCGATATTTGGAAAATGACTTACTTATCTTTTCTAAGTTTGACGGCCTTAACAAAGGATTTGAAGCTCAACTCTCCAATGCATTTATATTGGTGGTCATCCCATAGCAATACTTTGTTCATTGGGAATTTAGGGTGAGAGCCTCCTCCGACAAGAGCCAATATATTGCACCTGAAAAGCATCTCCACTATTCCGATACCTCCATCAAACTCTATTTATAGTTATTGCTTCCATTAGGATAAATATAAACATACCTCTCTTGAAAGTGTCCTTAAATGGATGAGTATTGTAGATCTTAAATCCTTTCTAGGTTCCACAAGCAAAGCATCCTTGATCCTAATTGAATCCGATATACAAGATTTCATCTTTGTTATTCATCATTTCAAGGAAATATTTATATTAAAATTATATAATTAAAGCAAATGTCTATTTTATTATAGCAAGATCTATAAATTGCTATAGTCCTATCAAGGGGTTTTGGGGTTTTGGGGTTTTGGGGTTTTGGGG